TTGAATATTGCTCAGTAGAATAATACATGTATATAGTGATAAAATCAATGGATGTTGAAACATGATTTATCTGAATTTCTCTTAAGGTTTAGATAGTTCAATTAAATACATGGAACATGGTGGCTTAGTCTGACCTGATGGAAGGTCAATTTGATGTCTATTGATTACATTATGGTCTGACATACTCCAGTCACCAGGGTGAAAAACAATGAATTTACTTAAATAAAAGGGTTAAATCTGTGGTTGGTTTTAGGAGGGTCCTTGAAGAACTGTTGGGATTTATTACTCCCATTTTTCAATGGTAACATCTGCCGCATTCACAAATGAAAATGACCAAAGTATTGTGTTGAAATAAAACTCCATCCCTTTTGTGACGTGTCTTCATTCATAATTTGAGTGACCTTCAAAATATTGAAGTTGTATTTCAGATTTTGTTTTAAAATGTATAAGCCTGTATATTTCTGGTTGAAAAAGTGGTGGCCATGTGGTATCAATGACAAAAGATAGTTGAATAGAATAACATAAATAACATAGATTACAAATATTGACTTTTTGTATGAATATGTAGTATGCACTGGTTATTATTTCTTTTGTTTATGTGAACATCCAGTCATTTTATTAAAGCATGTATGGTTGAGTGTTTATAAATAGTTAGATTTAGTATTGATTATTTGTAGCGTATAGTAATCCTATTACTAATAATATAGAGGTTAATACTATTGTGGTGAGTCGATAGTCAGGTGGGTGTGGTGTCATATAACCTTGTTACACATTTGACACTCAGGTAAAACTTTAGACACCTTGACTAATTTATATGTACCTACATAGGTTAAACAATTTTCAACCCAATACACAGTGTGAATTACGTTATCATGCAATGTAAACAGGTAAGAAAATTCATGTTTATTATTATGTATTTACCTACAGAGGTAGGAAACACATTTCAGGTTGAATACTTATTGAACATTCAAGTGAAACAATAGAGAATAAATAGTGCTGGATTTAAAACAGATGGGGAATTCGTGTTGATTAATGAAGGTAAAATCCTAACTTACCTTTGAATTAGATAAAGTTTGAAAAACATCTTGTGTAAGAAAACTAATGTAGGTAAATTGAGAACGTCCAGGTTAACAATAGAGACTGGTACTATGTTACTATAAAGTGTGATGGGAATTCTATGTTATACGGGTAGACTATTATTGGCATGGATAAATAACCTGTCTGTGTAGATGACACAGATGGGTTTTATTTTTTGTCCTCCCGCCTTTCGAAGAAGGCAGAATACTATGAAAATGGGTCCATATGTCTGTCTGTCCGTCACACTTTTTTTTTGGACACAATAACTCTGCTTCTAATTGAGCAAGAATTTTAAAACTTGATTAGGCATTCACTTAAAAGTGAATGCCTTGCTGACTGAGTTTGATGATGAACAGTTTCTACTTGGGCTAAGCAGAGATACACAATTTGATCGATTGATGCTTTGGAACATGATAACTTTACTTCTATTTAAGTCAGAGTGATGAAACTTGGTGTATAGTTTCATTACATCAATACCTTGACTAAGTTCGATAATGAGCATTTTTGGCTCAGGTTAAGCAGAGTGATATGCAATTTGATTGGTCAAGACTTTGGAGCTTGTCAACTTTGCTTCCAATTGAGTGAGAATGGTGAAACTTGGCGTATATCATTACATTAATAGTTTGACTAAGTTTGAAAATTCACATTTCCTATAGTTTCATTACATCAGTACCTTGACTAAGTTCGATAATGAGCATTTTCTGCGTCGATGTTTTGGGACATGATAACTTTTGATTCCAGTGGTGAAACTTGATGTATAGATTCATTACATAAAACTTGGAGTATAATTTGGGTACATCAATACCTTGACTAAGTTCGATGATGAGCAATTTAATTGGTCGAAACTTTGAAGCTAAGCTTGACAACTTTAATTCTAATTGATTGAGAATGGTGAAACTTGGTGTACATCATAACAACCCTTCCATGACTATTAAAATGCATTTGTTCGTCTGTCACCATTCGGAACATATTTCTGCTTGAATAATGAACATTTTCTGCTCACACATTAAGCACTGATAAGCAAGAAGATTGATGCTTTATAAAAAGATAAATATACAATAAAAAATGTTTGTCATCTAGTTACTTGACAGGGGAGGGGGGGGGGGGCACATGAACCTCACTGTTGGCTTGTTTACATAATAAGTAGTGACATGTTGTGCATGATATTCTTGCTATTTAGAACACCTGTCATCACGTTTAATTTAAGAAATTCACTTAGATAACAGATTTTTGTTGTATGAGTACATTTGTATAGAATGTGAATGAATTTGGTTTAAGGTAGACAAACATGTACACTACACACATACAGGTTATGTAAGTAATATATGAAACAAAAGGTTAGCAATAGACACTCATTAATAAACATACATCATGAATTATGATAGGTTAAGTCATGATACAGAAACACCTTGACTTGCATTTACATAAATTACTTTGAACAGAAAGACAATATACATAGTCTTTTATTATAATTAAGGTCACTGGTAAAAATTGTTACACTACAGTGTCATAAAATAATATATAGAGAAACACATGAAATTTACAGGTAATTTATATATAACTGAGATAGCTGTGAGTCTGTGATATTATTTTATTTTCAGTTAGAATTTAATATATGATTGGATTGATCTTATAGTACAAGAAATATACTTTTAGGACTTCACTATTGCTACGTCCAATCTTAGGACTTCACGATAACACTCGTACTAGTATCAACTCATGACCCATGCTAAAGTGAGACTCAAGTACACTAGGACTTCATAATAACACTCTTACTAGTATCAACACATGACTCCTGTACACTAAGACTTCACAATAACACTTTTACTGGTATCAACACATGACTTTACCTGTGTTAAAATTGTTGTTTACTACAAATTTAACATCCAATACATTGTAATGATATGGACATTGGACAGGTTGATTTGAAATATTGTGTGATGCCAAATGGAATGCCAGTTGGGAACACATGGTCAATTCCTACAAAGGGAAATGGTTACAGATAAAAATTGTGTTGTGAATAATTATCGAGCTTGTATATTTACAGGATTATCAAAATTACCGTTGTACTAATTACAAGGATTGTGATCTGAATGAACTTACAAGTTTATTAACTAATTTTTGACTACTTTTAATCTTGTTGACCGACATAAAGGGGATTAAAATGTCTGACAAAGGAGAAACCACAAATTGTTTTCTGGATTAAGATATAACGGAAATCATGTAGATTAAGAAAGTTAATCAAGGCAGATAAATTGTAATTAATCAATTAAGATAGGTGTTTAATACCTTAAAAGGGTTGATCACATAATTACCTAATCAATCCAGGCTATTATTCACAAAATCTAGATGTCCGATTGGGCATATTCCAGGTCAGATGGTTGGAAAATCGCATACATGTCTGGAATATACGGGCGAAGTAGCATCCCTGTTTTAAAATAATTTAATGTCTTCAGTTTGGGTAAACCAGGAGTTGGTCCCATCAAAATTACCTACCGGGTAGTTTGTTTCGATTGAAGTACAACCTCTCTCTCGATGGATTAAACATTACAACTTTCCAAATAAATAGAAAGTGTAAAAATATATCCCACCGGTTTTTTTTTGGTTTTTTTAAATTATTTTTATTCAGTATGTCTGAATGGGATTGGGGAACAGCCTGTGTAAAACCCCTCTCCCAAGGTACTTTATATACATAATATTAATATAAAGGAACAAATGGGTGTACATATACTGTTAAAATGGCAAACACATACATATATATATATATATCCCTCCGTTTGGCAATTGATTTGAGTAATCCCGTTTATATAGTCATCATTTGAGATTAGACTTACACTGCGGGTAAATCTTGTTATAGGTGTAAATACAGGTATTTTTATTACCTGTGTTTGGTTATTTAGATAGTTCAGAGTACAGTGCAGTAGATTATAGTTTGACTTATTTATTTTACCTGAATATCTAACAAGGCAAAAAAGAAAGATATATACATTCTGGATGTGAGATATTGATATTTGGATAAAACATTATAGAAAATGGAAGAGAGACAATAGATAGGCTCTGGATGTTGTTTGATGTATTTTATTACCATACTAATATTAATAAGCTTTGTTTGTTTAAATATATGTATCTTGAAAGTGAACAGGTATTAAAGTTGTTTGTTTTACTTGTCTTCGGTGATTTCTTTTTTCATTCAAGATATTTTAGTCTGATTTCAAAACGAGTTAAATTTGATTTATATTCTTAAACGAGAAATTGTAAACCATTTAGTTAGAATATAAACATAGTAACATACAACACACTGGAGGAGAGAGATGGCACACTAAACACAATTCATCAAATTCAGATTAATATTTCTAGAGTTCTGTCCCCTTTTTGCAGAAATCTGTCCACACTGCTTGTAATGCTTGTCAGCACAAGAATTTTCATCATATTTTTCTAAAACTTTCAGGAAACTTGTTTTCCTATTAGACAAAGATGCCTATTTCTTTTCGAAAAAATCTGATAAATATTTTTAGAACTATGACCCATTGTTTGCCAAAACCTGTACACACTGCTTGTAATGGTTGTCAGCATGATGGAAGCCAGAGTTTTGATAAGATAGATGATCCTGATAGATTCCACCATCACCACTTTCAGAAGACATTGAGATTGCAAAAGAGGCTATATATTTTAACAGGTTTTTGTCAAATTTGTTGTGAAGCATAAGAGTCATGAGAGTTCCGGGCTTTTCTTTCCTGGATTTATGCTCCCTTTTCCGAAAACTTGTGAATGTAATAGAGCCTAAAATCTTTTCTTTTCTTCTTTTTTTTTTTTTTTCCCAAAAACAAAGCTGCTGTGGCTATCTTGATTAGAGAGTACTATTTTGAAGTTTGATCATTGCCTTAACAATGGATGAACTGAGGTATTTTTGTTTCTATTTCCAGATACATCATTTGAGAGGTTAAATGAGAGACGAGGGAGTGCACCATTAGTTTCTACAGGATTCGTCGGAGAAGATATGATGGATACTCCATCATCCACCTCGTCTAAATTGGCGGTAAGTAAAAATAATCTTGAAGTAAATAGGTCCAAAAAAACCTAAGTGTTTTAAATAAGCAGACAATCTTATTGTGACTTTCTTTGCAATTATACTTTTAGCTGTTGGGCTTGGAAAAGGGGTTTTGAATTAGTGCTTACACAGATATTCCGAGTTTAAATGATTTTGTAAGGCTATTCATATATGACTATCCAGTAGAACAATGACCACTATTTTAAATAGGATCTGCATGTTTGTCAATAGGTAGCTGAATAAGGATGGGCTTGGTTGATTTGTCCACCGATAGGTGAGCCGTTTTTTACCACAGCGTATGCCGGTCAGGTCACCGTATGAAAACAAATCAAGTGACCCAGCTGATAAACAATAGGCCTATGGCATCAGATAATATTATAATATTAAACCAGTTACATGACATGTTTTAAGCAAAAACAGTATTCTTGAAAGTATAACTATTAGTAAGTGACCGCAAAATAAACAGAAAATTATTATTAGTAATATTACTGAGAAAAATAAATGACATGAACATCTGGTTTTATGAAGCTCCAATTTAGCTTTAAAATTTGTGTTTTATGGCATTCCTATATAACATGAATTTTATCTCGTCGACATGTTTAGGCCGGTGCATTCGGCATACGCCACAGCCAAAATTTTGTTGACTTCCGTTTAACGGTGGATACTGCTGAACTGTGGTCAGTCATTATGCGCCGGTATGGACAAATCAAGCAAAGCCAATGAACAAGTTTGTCAGACCATGTGGCCTGTTTTCATTCACTCTGCCAGACTAATAGAACAGCATTATATGACCAAGTAGTGGACCACTGTTTATGATTACCCAATGCTGGACTACTAGTGTAAGGGTTGGTACTGTATTGGCACAGTGTAATTGCATTTTAGACACTAGAATATACTTTCTTGCATGTTTTCGATTTGTTATCAACACTCTCGATCGGCTGTCTTAAAAAAATACCTTGAAAAATGAATTGTTAATCTAGATCAAAGGGAAGTAACTCTTATAATCTTATTAACACACTATGTTGTCTGAAAATTAGTATTAGAAAATCCATCTTAAGTGAAGGGTAAAACCTAGAAACACATTGTGCCTCTGACATTAATTTATTTATTGATTAATTAAACAGAAAAGTACATCTCAAATCACTGAATGCTCAAGGTTCGCAATGTATTCTGTCAAATATCAAATTGTGTTCAGCTGCCTCCATAACTTTTGGGCAATTAGATCTTTTCGGGCGGACAGATAAATTCAAAATTTATTGGAGGGGAATGTCCATATTTCTCAACGGTGCGCTTTGCACCTTTAGCGTCCACTGGCATTTCATTCTTGCCCCCTAAACATTGTCAGGCTTGTACGCCTATTCCCATGTTCCACACTTATTTCTTGTTTTTGCCTGTCTGTCAGAAGATATAAAAGGGTGTTTACCTACAGTTAATCCAATGTAATATGGTTGAATAATTGGGAGGAAGATTAGCCAACTATGTGTAAAGAATGCATGTACACATTCCTACACCAATATGTTATAAAAAAATAACATGTAACATCTGTTGATGAGTGATATCATGCAGATGTCAATATTCTATAACAGATCTATTCAAGATCATGTCTGTTTCTCTTTAATTTTCTTGAATATTTCTTTTTGGCTCAGATTAGTGTACTTTATATATAACAAGACCATTTTTATACACTCATATTTTCATGTTGACATATTATGCTGTCACCCCTGTCTGTCCATTAACATTTGTCTGTGGACACTCTAGAAGCCACAATTTTTATCTGGTTTTGATAAAACATCAAATATGTGTTTACATCACAAAGATCTTGAATGGGTTTGATTTTGGCACATATCAGTAGTAACATCCTGAATTATTGCAACTGAATGTAGATGTCACATTTTTATACACCCACATTGAAATTTGGTCTTATATTGTTGTCGCCCCCGTCCGTCTGGCTGGCCAGCCGGCCGGCCGGCGTCCACAATTACTTGTGGACGCTCTATAGGCTAAAGTTAATATCCGATTGACTTTAAATTTATACTCAGTGTTTAAGGTCATGAGACGAAGAAGCCTATTGATTTTTAGTGATTTTCGATAATTACTGCCTGAGTAATGGCCCTTGATCACTTCAAAAAATCTTGTGGACGCTCTAGAGGTCAAAGTTAATATCCGATTGACTTTAAATTTATACACAGTGTTTAAGGTCACGAGACGAAGAAGCCTATTGAATTTCAGCGATTTCCGATAATTACTGCCAGAGTTATGGCCCTTGATCACTTTGAAAAATCTTGTGGCCGCTCTAGAGGCTAAAGTTAATATCCGATTGACTTTAAATTGATACACAGTGTTTGAGGCCATGAGATGAAGAATCATATTGATTTTCAACAATTTCGGATAATTACTGCCAAAGTTATGGCCCTTGATCACTTTGAAAAATCTTGTGACGCTCTAGAGGCTAAAGTTATCATCCGATTGACTTCAGATTGATACACAGAGTTTAAGGTCTTGAGACGAACAAGTATATTGATTTTCAATGAATCTTTATGACTTGAACAGCTAAATCCATGATGGTAAAAGTTTCGTATACTAAACGTTAGCATGAGCCCAAACTTTATAAAAACCAAACAAATTCTAATTGTTTTCTGATAATTACTTAATGAGTTGTTACTCTTAATCAGATTTTAATGTATTATAAATGTTTCATTACCGAAAAAAGTAAAAATATGCGACAACTCTTGTTGACTGCCCGGACGATATAGCTGCTGTGGGCGTATGTTTCGTTGCCTGGCAACCTATCTTTTATTGGATTTTATACACCCACATTAAAATCAATCGGATTACAACTTTAGTCTCTAGAGCATCCTCAATAGCGTTTTCTTCTCGTGACCATAACCACTGTGTATACATTTAAATCAAACGGATGATAACTTTAGCCTCTAGAGTGGTCACAAGCAATTGCAGACAGACAGGCGTGACAACACAGACGACTTTGCTGCTGTGGGTAACTTTACTGAATTGTTTTCAAATTTCGTGGAGTGCATTGGGGTCATGAGGGGACGAACCCTATCGATAATCAGTGTTCAGCATCCTTCTGTACATAGTTACCCCTTCTTTGTGAACGAGATAGAGGTTACAGTTTTGAATAGAATTCTTTCATATTTGATGTCATGAAAAGGATGAACCCTGTTGATTTTGGGTGTTTCGCAAACATCATTTTCGCAGTTATTTCGAAGTTATTCCCCCCCCCCCTCCTTTAGATTTATTGAAAGCATAAAGGAGCATCATCAATTTGGTCAACGTCCTCATTTTCATTTTGGATAAACTGCTGTTGAGACATAGGTGCATAGCTATCTTTTTGTATATTTCAGAGTTTTTTCTCTAAGAAAGGATTTCGTTCGAATCTTAAAAGAACTAAAAGTGTGACTAAGTTAGATAGAAAAAGATCAGCGTCAAATGTTTGTGAAAATGATACGTGAGTATACAGATTAAATATTTTTAACCTTTTTATTTTAATCTTTTAATATTGTGTCGTTAAGCTACACATGTAGTTTGACCGTCATAAAGACCTGGATCGTGATGTTAATTGCCCCTTCTTCGTATATTGAGGACCTTAGTGAAGGTCTAGAAATCTAATCCTCTAAAAGCAAGGATAAATTGGCAACATGTTAGATGTGGTGTAAGGTTTACCATCTTTGTGCTTAACCTATGAATCAGCTGGTGGAAAACAGAGTAACAATTATTGTTATTGATGCAAGAAAAGAAAACAAGATTTATTGCTGTTTTGTTGGATTTTATAAATCCACATAAATTTGAGTTTTCAGTGTTTAATTGACTCATAGAAGAAAATAGTTTCCTGGGTGTTTGGCACTGGCCTAGAATGCCACAAGCTTTACTTATCAGGGCTGACATGGAAAGTGTGCCTAATCAGTCCTCACGTAGGAATTTGTAATTCTAGGATTGATAGAAAAAACACCAGGCAAGATGCTCCTCTGTCACATTGCCACATAATCATAGACAATAAATTACTGTATGTTACTCTCAAAATAACCTAAAATTTTGTGTTGAGGTGTCAAATACCATTCTATTCCTCAAGTGCATTAAGACATCTTTTACAAATAGCCAGTTATAACTGATGTCATTTATTTTATAAAACTAGAATACCACTGATGCATTTACCAGTATCAGTTACATGGAATAGGATCTATCGATAAAATAGAAAGCATGCCAAAAGTTATTGAATAAAATCTGAATTGCCAGTTCTGTGTATGAAACATGAGATAAATTCCCAGAGACTAGTTGCTTTTAGTCTTTCCCGTTCCTTATATAGCAGGAATGATGTTTAAATGGAAAATATACAGGACAGAATTTAAAGACAAAACTTTTTTGACAGCCATATTGTTAATGACATTTGCACCTAATGTGTAAATATTTGCTTGAAATTTTAGGGCTGTAATAAGAGGGTTATTATTATAATTTATAAGTTACAATATTGTAACACTGTCTGACTCATGTTTAAGCTGAACATGGTAAAGTCATTCTTTACTAAAACAAAGCCAGATGTTAAGTATAAATAAAATGTATGGTAATGTTCTGCCCTAATCTAATTATTATTAACACTTTACATCAGTAGGTTAAGAGAGGCCGAAAACAAAAACCATGATCTATAAAGTAAAAACATTCCTGGCTTGCCACACATTGTCGAAAACATTGTTGATGTGATACAGGCTACAAATTTTAATAGATTTTCGTCAAACTTAGTGTGCAGCATAGGGTTATAGGCAGATGAAGCATTTCGATATTCAGCGCTCTGACACAATAGAGGCCGAAAATAATTTTCTTTATGCGATAGAATCAACAGTTTTGAATAGATTTTCTTTAAAATTAGTGTGATGCATTGCATATGGAGTACAAACCCTATCAATATTTAGCTCTCTGTGATTTTCTATCGAATATCTAGTAGTAGTAGCTAATTATCACAAAATTTCAAGCAAAAATATAATATTTCCCATTTTTGACCTGTAAAAGAAAGTGACAAAGTTTCAAATATCAAAATTCTGAAATTGTGGATTATTATGATCCAACACTGGCTATCGGAAACTATAACATTTTACAAAACTGGGTGGTAACTTTCAAAGAATTTGCATGCTTCTGACATGTACACTTTTCAAAATAGCTTTAATGTCTTAGTCACCCCTTCCTTTTCATAAGCGTCAAAGATTTCAAAGCGATCCCACACAAGTATATTCTGAGATATAAGGAAATATATAGTCTTGATGATCCCTGATTTAGCTATTGTATGAAGCTGAATACATTGACTATCTGGGTATTGGTTTAGACAGTATTTATTCATATTTCTTATATACAATTATAAAGGGAATGATATGAACAATTGCATACAGTAACAAGCAACTTAATGCTTATATAAAACTGCTTCCAGATATTGGTAACTGCAGCAGATTTATCTAATGTTTTAATTGTTCCAAAATCTTCATCTAAGTGTAATATAGTGGACTAGTCATATGTTGAATTTCCTGTATTTAATATAGAGGAAGGTAAAGGTCACTAACAGGAAAGAGATGGTAGCCTAGTTCCTTTCAATTTCAAACTATATCAAAATCTTTAAGATAAACAAACTTAAAGGAAATATGGCAAATAAAAGTTAAATTTTTACTGACTCATCTATGTAAAACAATTTTCTTCATAAAATTACAGATTTGAAGCAGCCCTGGCAAAAAATGTATTTTTTTTTTTTAACCTTCATAAAAGTGAATTTGTTGGACTAAAAAAATCATTATTTTCTTAATCTTAATAAATACTTATTTCTAGTTTATATGTGGAGATACTATTTTGTGTGGAGATATCTTACAAAACTGTATTTTCAAAGTGAATCCCAAAATTCTAACCTACCAATATGCAAATTCAAATAGTTGAACAGAAATAAGTCAGTGGTTCTTTGAATTGTCATCTTGTAATTTTTTTCTCCATTGTACTTTTTCAATGGCAATTATTGAAGCAATTCAGAAACTATAATGCTTTATTAATTGCAGTCACTACCAAATCTGGATCCGTGCACTCTGCCAAAAGTCATATCGGCTTTCCTGTCTAAACTGCCAGATGTTGGCAACTATTAATTATTGGCCACAGTCTTCAAATGCCTTCCGAGAGCTTCATGAGCAAACTTTTCAATAATTGAATTGTCCCAAACAGAATTAAGTCTGAAGCAGCAGTTTTTAAAATTTAACTCTCACCCTAGCGTTGCACAAGTAAATATAGAAATATATATTAATTAGTGTCAGAATGGCCAAATTATTGTGTGCAACACCCATTACTAAGTATACAGCAACACCCATTACTAAGTATACTGTAACAATAAAGATCTATTTATAGGAATATGGCATAGTACCTTTAAAGTATTTGAAGAGATAAATAAGATATTTATAGTCTAGATCAGTAATATTTAAGTTGATAGAAATAAACTGCTACCAGACATATAATATTATATTACAAATATCAGCATTATGGCTGCTCTAGACCAGGATTGGGTTTGGAAACCTGAATCACCAAAATTATCAAAGTCTCCGCTTTCAAGAGTGTTTAAACTTGAGTAAGTGTTAACCTTTGTTAATTTTATTTTAAAAACTATATTCAGTTTGTTTGTTGCAGCAGATTAGTTGAAAATATGTATAGATGTGTGAAAGTCTGTAATAACAAGTGAAAAGGGGTTCATTTGTTTATAATTAATGACTTATTATTTGTCAACTGCTTTTAGGTTAGATAATCAAATGAAAAATTTAAATTAATGATATATTATGACAATATTTTGTGCCAGATATTTGTGAGTATAGTTTATGTGAGTTAGATACTAGATTTCTGTATAGATATTTGTAATTAAAGAAGCATTATGTAAGATTTAGATAAAGAGCTGGCTGTTCTTGCTATAATAGTTCAAAAATAGATAATGCAAAATGAATAGATTGAAAATTTCATTCAAATTACTTTATTCTGAGTAAAGTTATCCATGTTTGTAGTTTTGACAAGTGCATTGATTGTTTATTATCGTAACCACTGTACTGGTTGTCCAAGACTTAGCCTCTCTTCTCCATTTTTATACGCCCACATTGAAATGTGGTTGTATATTGCCGTCGCCCCCATCCGTCCTCTGTTGTCAGTCCTGTGTCCTCAATTGCTAGTGGACGCTCTAGAGGCTAAAGTTAATATCCGATTGACTTTAAATTTATACACAGTGTTTAAGGCCATGAGACGAAGAAGTCGATTGATTTTCAACAATTTCTGATAATTACTGCCGGAGTTATGGCCTTTGATCACTTTGAAAAATCTTGTGGACACTCTAGAGGCTAAAGTTACTATCAGATAGACTTTAAATTTATACACAGTGTTTACACATGATTTGAAGACGCCTATTTATTAGCAACAATTTCTGATAATTACTGCCAGAGTTATGGCCATTGATCACTTTGAAACATTTTCTAGAAGCTCTAGAGGCTAAAGCTACTGTCTGATAGACTTTAATTTATACACAGTGTTTACAGTCATGAGACGAAGAAGCCTATTGATTTTCAACTATTTTCGATAATTACTGCAAGAGTTATGACCCTTCATCACTTGTGGTCACTCTACTGGGTAAAGTTACTATCCGATAGTAACTGTGTTTACGTTCATGAGATGAAGAAACCTATTGATTTTCAACAATTTCTGATAATTACTGCCTGAGTTATGGCTCTTGATCACTTGAGAAATCTTGTGGAGGAGCTAAAGGCTAAAGTTGATATAAATTTATACACACTGTTTAACCCTTTCACTGCGTATACCCGGTAGTACCGGGTATTATAAAATGTCGGTAAAATGTGCGTACTCGGTATTACCGTGTACTTAGTAAAGCCCTCGCTAAAATTAGTACCGTAACTGCAAGTGCCATCTATTGTATTTTCTATACACTAGAACATATTTCCACGTGTTTCAAAGCGGCAAACCGTAAAATGGCGGAGTGCATAGTGACAACGTAGACGATGCACTCTCGACGAAGTCGTTAATGACGTCTTGCTGACCAACATGTGGACAATTTCGAGGCGGGTGATACACATAATTCGTTTCCAGTTACTTGATAATGATAGTAGTCAGGACAGTGATTAGTATTATGAAGTGTGTGATTTGTTGCGCGATGTTCCGCCCATGGCTAGCTATGTCTCCCGTGCATGATGAACAATCCCAATGTGAACACGATAGCCCTGTGTCTGCAGTAGATTCTGACAATAATTCTGATGTTGATAATAATGCTGGCCTGCTGGATCGTAAAAGACGTAGGCAATTCCTGAGTCCCGAACGTGTAAATCTATTGACTGACTATATTGATAATGATATGGGACTTGGGGATGAAAGTGAAAGTAAAAACAAGGTATTGCAATCCGCACGTGGTCATGGCAGCGGAAGACGTGATGCGCGTGTTCGTGACGG